ACTTGCATTTAGAGAAGTCAAACATGTGTATGAATTAACTTGCCCTTATGAGCAATTTTAAATTTATCTTTTGTCACCACCTGGTGGTAGAATGTTCTCTCACTTTTTTCCCCATTTTAAGTTCTTTTTTTTGTTTCTTGCCATGGGAAATCTCTAAACCAAGAAAATGAGTCAACTTTAGCAAGTATAAAACCTTTAGCACTGATAATCAAGCATTAATGCATACTCAGCATGCAGTAGGCACTTAAATATCTGTTTAATAAATGGTTTTAATTTTATTTCATGGATTGTAATGCCTATGATCTTTTTACTTGAATTGCATAAAGCTCTCAAGTGTGGCACATGCAAGAGAACCAGAGTATTATCAGAGTTATTTTTCCTTTTTTAATATATATATATATATATATATATATATATATATATATATATATATATATATATATATATATATATATATTGGTTTAAGCTAACAGATCTACATGATTAATAAGTAGCTAGCGAAGGCATTTTATTATTTTAAGAATGTAAATGCACTTAAAGTTATCATGTTTAAAATGTGTTTTCTATGATACCAAAAGGTGAATTTGACAATTTGATAAAACTGTATTAAATGAGAAAAGGTGTGACCCACATTGTAACTTCAGGACCTGTGACATTAAGAGAAACTGAGTTGTATGGATACATCATTTGCTGTAGACCATCGCCACCTTGTGGGCCAAAGGAGGTACTAAAAGCTGTGAATCTTTTAAGGTGGAATTGTTATTGCCAGAAAGTTCCTAGTTAGAATTTATATGAAATGTATGATAATCATTGGAAACAACAGCAGTAATGAGTCTGACAACATTCATAACCTACCACTCAATTAGATAGTTAAAATGCCAAAAAAGCATTTGATTAAACATTAAGAGTCACAGTCATTTCTAAGCCCCCAACTTGGTTTATCTTGAAGGCAAACCCCTGAGGCATAATTCAATATCCTAAAACAAGGAAAGTGGTTGCACAAATTGCACTTTTTTCAGTTATAGCAAATGCATGATTTGCTGCTCATAGCCATTTGTAGTCCAAATACAATTTACATGCATTTTTCTGTTTTCAACATGGTTATATTTCTGAGTATACGACATGCTTACAGTAAATGTTCAGTATCTATTTTCTCATTTATGATCAAATGAAATCTCCATTTTGTTCAATCTTACTTTAGACCATCTGTTCCCAGAAGGATTACCAAACAGCTTTCCCATTTCTAATTGGTAAATCCTCTGGTATGAAAATATGGATTTATAGCATCACATGTTTAAAAGAACTATGTATATTAATCATTTCTGTAGACAATATTTTCACTAAAACAATGCTTATACTGCATGTACTTCATTTTGTGGTTACTTGTTGAATACTTAATTTTATATAAACTTCTTAGGAATTATGAGTAGAGTATTATGTCTTACTATCGATATATGAAACACATGCAAACACAGAAGATGTAGGTGAGCATTAATACTTGTTTCTTTTACTTGAAAATGCTCAAAACATTCCCATTTCTCTCTCAATAGAAGACAAGAATGCTTGTAAAAGTTCGAACTGTTCTTTGTAAGAATATTTTTATCAAGTATTTTAACTTTGGTTAGCTCCTTTCTACAAATAATAAAAACTAGTCAAGGTCTGTAAAGTAAAACATACCTAAGTTTATGTTTGTATAAGTGCATATCTATAATAATAATAATAGTGTAATATGCTAATTAGACTGGACAGCCGAACGACCTTCCGGATGTCCTTCCAGAAGTCCTTTCAGAAGCCAGGGCTGCAAGGGCCAAGCCCCTTGCATGAATTTCATGCATCGGGCCTCTAGTGTATTCTATGAAGAGAAAGCCAGAAACATGGTAGGTCTTAGCACTATGTGTGATCTTTTTGGTGCTCGTTCAAATCAAGGAGCAAACATTTATAAGGGGGAGAGTGCAAAACTTACAAAGACTCGATGTTACCTGTCATGTTTACTAGTGTCGTGAACACATTTTACTTCTGCCGGTCTTATTTCCACAGAAAAATATTGCTTTCACATCACAATTTTGTTAAAAATATACATGTGTTATATGTATATATATTTATGTAATACCACGTATGCCCAAAGAGTGCTGGTCTTTTTTTAAAAAGGAAGTAGATTAAATGTTCTTCTGCATATGGATGGAGTTTTTCAAGCTCAGTAATTGGCAATTCCTACATCCATGCCTCTGTTGAAGCGATTAAAAAAGAACCATTTCCCAGAACTACAGGTGCGGGACAGATTGGAGTCATTATGCAAAAGAACAGAAATCTGGAGAGAAACCTAGGGAATAAAAAAGCCATGTTCCTGGCCATCCGTTTGCCTTTAACTGTTTTGTTTTGTTTCTCAGCTCTATCTGAATATATAACATGAAATATGCAAACATTAGAATAGATTTGAAATAAACCATCCAGGATTAGAAATCCATGCCTTGAATTAAACAAACTTCCAGTAAGAATGCACTGAAGGTGGACATGAACTAAAGGCCAAGCTTGCATCCGTATATTTGAAAAGCTCAAGTTTACGTAAGGGAGGTGACAGTTTGGAATACATTTCATGGGTTGCTGGTCTTCTGAATTCCCCATCATGTCCCCATTCAAGGAACTCACATTTTACCTTTAGTCCTCTGTTAAGTATCTCAGCTCCTGGACCACCTCAAGCATTTGAAATCCCCACCACTAAGCCACTCTGAAGTCCCAACTGCTGGTCACCTTACATAGTTTTCAGCTCCCTGCTCTAAAGCAAGAGGTTTGAAAATGTACCCCTGGCTTTGCTTTCATCACCCTGTTCAGTATCTTGCAAGTGACTTTTCCTGAAATGTTCTCCTGCGTATCTAACATTTCTTCTAGCTAGAAAGAACATGTGAAATGAAATCATTTGTTAAAAAAAAAAAAGGGATGTTAAAAACCTATAATGGAGAAGAAGGGGTGGCATGTAAAACTGGGAACTAACCTGACTAGTGGGGATGTTTGGGAAAGGACAATTGAGAAGCAGGGAGGAGTCCATCTCGCCTCAAAAGATGGACAGAAACAGTCAGGCTTAGACAATGTGGAGATGAATGGGCTGCTCGTGGGTGTGTGTCTGTCACCATCAGATTGGAAGGACACATGGAAGGGGGTGAGAGAGGGCAGTGAAGGAGGGACTGGGTGGAAGGAGGTAGGTGGAAACAGTGACCAAATGTCCGATGGTGTGAAAAAGGAAGAGCCAAGGAAAGAAAGGGTGGTGACTGAGCGGCCTTGAGCTTCTGTAAAAACACAGGCCATTCCTGCGCTGATCATACAGCGGGTAATTATGACAGCAACTTCAGAAAGAAAGAAAAGTACATGGAAGAACCCATGCATGCATTCCTAAACGCGTGGGGACCAGGGAATGCTGGTACACTTCTTCCAGAGTGAAGCGGTTTGCTTCTTGGCGCCACTCATTCTCAGGTGAACTCTGCTGAAGGGTAGAGAGAGCAACCAAGTAGGCAACCTAGAACCCTCCCAGGAAACAGGCGACATTGGGAAGGATTGTGAAAGCAAACGCTGGAAGAGGGATGCTTTAGAGGAGTGCAGGGGATGCCTCGAGCTGGGACAGAATGAAGTTGGCAACATCTGCGGAGGAGTGAGGCCAGGGCCCAGGAGAAACTGGGTGGACACTGAGAGGTGGGGGCGGAAGGGGTGGTGGGACCGGACACCCCGCGAGCCCAGGAAGCGGGGGCCCGGGCCTTGGAGGGACCGGGGTCCGCCTGGGTCTCGGCGGCCACTGTCCCCATTGTCCCCGCGGCTTTCCGCCGGGGGAAGGAGCATTATGAAGCATTTCCTTCCTCTGTGTCTCGGGGCCCCTCCCTCCTTTGGGATGGAAGCACCGCTCAGCTTTTTCTTGGAGACCTAACGGTGGAAATGCTCATCTGATCCTGCTCTGAACACGGATGCAGCCTTTCCCCTCTCCTGATGGGAAGAGGGAGGGGCCCGGAAGGAAGTCGATTTCCTAAAGTCCTCACCGCACGCTTGCTAAGCCCCAGCGATCCCGCAGGTCCCCGAGTGGAAAAGCCGGGTTCCCTGAGGTTCCCGCCCGCCTCGCCTGCGCCTGGCCGCCGCCGCGGGGGAAGATAGCGGGCGGGCTGGGCAGGAAGGAGCCCATCGCTTCTCGGATGGGGAAGGAAAAGAAAGAGCAGTTCCCTCCCCAGGCTCCAGGGAGCGGTCCCCACAACCTCTTCCGGAAGTGGGACCCTGGATCCCCACACCCAGGGGCCGAAGGGGGAGGCGATGCTGCAAGGAGCAGGGGCGAAGGTCAATGCGCACGCAGGTTACCCTCCAGAGCCTGGGGAGTGTCTCCCGGCCCCCTCACCCCGCATGCTTTCTAGGGGAGGCGCTGGGCCAGCCAAGCTTTCCCCTAGAAAAACTGGGGAGATGGCCAGGAGCGCTGGGGTACCTTTCTAGAAAAGGCTGGGGGGGGGGAGGGGGGTGCGGAGGGACCTCGGGGGTAGGAGTGGTCAAAGGGGGAGGCCAGGGAGATCTCGAAATTCCTGGGCAGGGAGATCTTGGAGAAGGAGAGGGTCCAGCTTTCCACCCCCATCCTCCCTTCGGGGACTGGAGCCTCGGGAGCGGACTGCGCTCCGCACCGGAGGGGCGGCGGGGAGGGCGGGTGGTCCGGGAAGCCGGCGGGGAGGGCGAGGCGCGGTGGTGGGAGTGAGCACGTCTCCCCAGAGCAGCCCCGGGCGGAGGCAGGACCGGCCACAGGGCCCCTCCGGCGTCTCCCGCCCCCGGATGGACGAGTCCCGGGCGCGGAGCCAGCGCGGAGATCGTCCCCTCCCCCGCCGGCCCGCCGCGCGCCGAGCACGGACTTCAGGGGGCGGTGTCTCCGGGCGGAGAGGCGGCCAAGAGGGAGGAGGAAGGGGGGAGGGGGTGGCGGGGCGTCCTACAAGCTATAAAAGGCGGTCCCGGGTGCCCGGCTCTTGCACTCGCAGGAAAAGCCGCTCCGAGCCAGGTCGCGCGGTCCGGCCGAGAGAGGACAGTGCCCGCGGCGCGGAGCGAGCGGCTCCCGGGTCCGGGCGGAAGGAAGCCGAAAGCCGGGCTCCAGGCTCCGATCTCCGCGTGGCCCGCTGCCCCCCGCCCCGGAGGCGTCCCAGGTCGCGTGGGGTCCTCTCCAGCGCCGGCTACTCGGTGCATTTTTAGAAGGAAAACTTCGCGTTCTCGGGCTGAGCTGCAGCGCCTGCTCCCCGGTGACTCCGGGAGCCCCCCGAGCGCAGCCGATCGACTCTCCGTGAACTTGCAAAGAATCACAGTAACTTCACTTGAAGCATCCGGAGCGAGGCCGGCGAGGCTCTCGGCACTCTCCCGACCCCAACCATCGCCTCCCTGTTGGGAACGCCGCGGCGGGCCGTGCCTCCCGGGGTCCCGGCGCAGCTAGCGGTCCCCGCGGGGTCCCGAAGGCGCATCACCGCAGGCGGCGACATGGGGAAGGCGGAGCTGGCCCGGTGGCCCCGGGGTCCGCAGTCCGCGTCCGTGCAACTTCTGCTGCTCCTTGCAGCGGCCGCGGCTCTGCTGCTCGCCCCGGGCGCGCACGGGCGCCCCGCGGAGGAGGACGAGGAGCTGGTGCTGCCGACGCTGGAGCGCGGCGCCCCGGGCCTCGGGGACACCCACCTCCTCCTCCGCCTGGACGCGTTCGGCCGGCGGCTGAGCCTGGAGCTGCAGCCGGACCGCGGCTTCCTGGCGCCGGGCTTCACGCTCCAGACCGTGGGGCGCAGGCGGGGCGCCGACGCCCCGAGCCCCGAGCCCCCCGAGGGCGACCTGGCGCGCTGCTTCTACTCCGGCACCGTGGACGGCGACCCCGGCTCGGCCGCGGCGATCAGCCTGTGCGAGGGCGTGCGCGGCGCCTTCTACCTGCGGGGCGAGGAGTTCTTCATCCAGCCCGCGCCCGCCGCCACCGAGCGCCTCGCCCCCGCCGCCGCCGCCGTCGGGGAGGAGCCGCCCGCGCCGCCCCGGTTCCATCTCCTGCGGCGGAGGCGGCGGGGCGGCGGCGGCGCCAAGTGCGGGGTCACCGACGACGAGGCTCCGATCGCGAGGGGCGCGGGGCCCGAGGGCGAGGACGACTCCGGGGTCACCAGGGACCCCGCGCCGCGGAGCTCGGGGCGGCCAACAGGTACCCGTCCCAGCGGGATGATGACCCTCCCTCGCGTCTCCCTCCATTCATTCCCCCTCTCCCCGCTCGCTCTCTCCGCGGGACTCCGGTTTGTAGGCTGGACAGACGGAGACCTGGCGGGCGGGGGGGGGGGGGGGGGGCGATGGGGCTGGAGGTCCTGCCAGAACTCTGAGTTCCCTTTGCCTGAATGATGCATGATCCAGACGGGGACAGACAGCCCAGGGGTTTTTCTGCTGACGAAGGCGGAGCATGGAGAGCAGAGAGGGAGAGTTTTGGGAATGCAGCTCTTCCCACCTCAGTGGAGTGTGAGCGTGTGTGCAGCTGCTTCCCATTCGGTTCGTGTCGCTTTACGGCCGCGCCTGGGCTCCCGGGTCGGTGCAACTTTGCACCAGTTTTGCAACCGCTGCCAGGGCGCAGAGGAGGGCGGGGATGGACGGCGCGGGGCCGCTGGTGACCTCCAAACGGGCAGCCCTGGAGCCTGCGCGGCTGCGCTGTGACCTCTGTGGGGCCGCCCTCTGGCCCCCTCCCCATGGAAGGGGCTGATGACCCCGACGGCCAGCGGCGGCCGGGGCTCTGCAGAGCCTGCTTGGGAGGTCTGCGCCCCGCCGGCCCCGCCTCCCCGCGCCTCCCACCCTCACCCACCCCGGTGTGCGCTCCGCCTCGCGGCCATCACGCTGCTCCCTGCTGGATGTTAGTCACCGCCAAGCCTGGCTTCTCCTTCCTTCTTTCCCCTGCCTCTGCTGTGTGGAGTGCAGCAGCCGATCAGTTCTTTTCATTCTCTCCCATTGGTGCCTTTGCTCTTCTTTTTGACTTCCTCGCATGTCTGGTTTTTAGAGCTCTCCACTCTCCCCAGCACATCTGCTCCGTGGAGCAGTGATGTGGTCACCCAGCCCCGGTCCCTGGATGGAGGCTGCGTTTCAGGAGTTTTAACCGGCCCCTGACTGAATCCGAGGCAGGAACTTCTTTCTCTGGGGCAGCTGGCCTGGGGCAAGAGGCGGCCGGGCGGAGTGGGTGGTCTTTCCGCCTGGATCTGGCAGGAGCAGCGCCCCCCAGGGACCCCTGGAATGGGATTGCAGAGCAGTTGCAGGCTGAGAGATTCCTGGAGGCCGGCCCCTTGGCAGAGGCCCCGGCCCTGCCCTGGGCCTTCCACGTGGAGCCCGATGATCTCATTCAGGATCGGAGCCCTGGCCTGTGAAAGAGTGACTCAGGGCCTCTGCCTGCTGCCCTGCTCCAAGTTCTTACTACAGCTGGGGAGGAAGGCGGACAGACGACTGCCTTCCTGGTTGTGATGGGAGGGTTTCCAGGCCGACAACAGAAATCCTGCTCACTAATATATATATATATATATATATATATATATATATATATATATATATATATATATATAATTTAAAATATAGATAATAACAAATAAGTTTTTAAAAATATATTTTATTGATTTTTAATATATGTAATTATATATATAATAACAAATACGTTTTTTTAAATATATTTTATTGATTTTTTTACAGAGAGGAAGAGAGAGGGATAGAGAATTAGAAACATCGATGAGAGAGAGAATCATCGATCAGCTGCCTCTCGCACCCCCCCCCACTGGAGATGTGCCCTCAACCAAGGTACATGCCCTTGACCGGAATCGAACCTGGGACCTTTCAGTTAGCAGGCCGACGCTCTATCCACTGAGCCAAACCGGTTTTGGCTAATTACTTTATAAAAAAAAAGCCTGACCCCTCAGAGGGTGCACATGGCCATTTTATTTCAAGGAGAAAACTTTAAAAATAACATTTTCGGTGAACGGAGAAGCAAATATTTTTTTGTTTGTTGTTGCCTTAGGGGTATTTTTGTCTTATTTGCTTTGCCTGGTTAGACTTTCCTTATATGCTAGTGCTGTGGGGAGGGAATGATTCCCGGCTAGACGGCCCCTGAGCAAACGCTTTCTTTGATTCTTTCCAGGAAGTGGAAGCGTCAGGAAGAAGCGGTTCGTGTCCAGCCCCCGCTACGTGGAGACCATGCTGGTGGCTGACCAGTCCATGGCCGAGTTCCACGGCAGCGGCCTGAGGAACTACCTGCTCACCTTGTTCTCGGTGGCCGCCCGGCTGTACAAGCACCCCAGCATCCGGAACTCCGTGAGCCTGGTGGTCGTGAAGATCCTGGTCATCTACGAGGAGCAGAAGGGACCGGAGGTGACCTCCAACGCGGCGCTCACGCTGCGCAACTTCTGCAGCTGGCAGAAGCAGCACAACCCGCCCAGCGACCGGGACGCCGAGCACTATGACACGGCGATTCTTTTCACCAGGCAGGTGAGAGGAAGACAGGGCCACGTGTGACCGGGTCCCCTGGGGAGTCCCCTTGGCGACCAGTGTCGCTAACTCATGTCATCAATGCTTGGCACTTGCATTTTTTTTAATTTAATGGCTGGCGCGATCCGTCAGTCTCCTCGTTTCTTCCACACTTTTTTCTATTTATTTTATTGATTTTTTTTTTTTACAGAGCAGAAGAGGGATAGAGAGAAATATCAATGAGAGAGAATCATCGATCAGCTGCCTCTTGCACACCCCCTACTAGGAATGTGCCCTCAACCAAGGTACATGCCCTTGACTGGAATCGAACCAGGCACCTTTCAGTCCGCAGGCTGACGCTCTATCCACTGAGCCAAACCAGTTTCAGCAGCACTTGCATTTTTTTTTTTTTTTTAATTGGTTAGCGCGGTCCGTCAGTCTCCTCCTTTCTTCCACAATTTTAATATCTCAAGTTGCACAGGCCTGTGTGAGTAGCTTTAGGAAGAACTATCGATGGAGGTCACAGAGCACTCCTAGAAGGACAGCTCAGTAACAATGACGGTAGATGCTCCGAGGCATATGTGATGCTGCACCTTGCCCCGAAAGATCCCCATGTTGTGGGATGTCCCTCGGAATCAGGATACACCTTTGTCCTTGTAGGACCTGTGTGGCACCCAGACATGTGACACCCTCGGGATGGCTGATGTGGGAACCGTCTGTGATCCCAGCAGGAGCTGCTCTGTCATAGAAGATGACGGCTTACAAGCTGCCTTCACCACGGCCCACGAATTAGGTGAGTCTGTTTGGAGTCAAGAGCTAAGCTCAGTCTGAGAATTGAAACTGAAAATTTATCAACTTGAGAGAGAGTTTGTAGGTTATATTGCTATTTTAGGTGCCAGGGCTTCTTAGAAATCGCAGAAAATATCTTTTAATTGTTCGAACCATGATCATCTTTATCAGAATATCAATAAGGTCATTGGAGCTATGGACATTTGGAGACTGTACATGTTTGTTTACACTCTGTACAATGTACACATTTTATAGGCATTGTCTCCAAAATAGGTGTTCTTTTTCTTTTTTTTCTTTTTTTTCTCTAGAAATATCCCTATTTGCGATAAAATGCTGCCCATTTGCTTATGTTTTAATGTGAGTTTCGGATTGCTTCTTAGGCCACGTGTTTAACATGCCTCACGATGACGCGAAGCAATGTGCCAGTCTTAATGTCAACCGGGATTCCCACATGATGGCGTCAATGCTTTCCAACTTGGACCGCAGCCAGCCCTGGTCTCCCTGCAGCGCCTACATGATTACCTCATTCCTGGATAACGGTCATGGTAAGACGCTCCAACTGCTCTTTCTACATGGCATCCAGCTTCCTATCTGTAAAGTTCTAATTAAACAGGCTCGTTTTTCTTTCTTTCTTTCTTCTTATTTTTTGTTGTTGTTGTTGTTGTTCTTGATATTTTCCTTTCAGATTACTTTCACTGCCAAGTGCATGCATTTTTAAATCTAAATTCCAATAAAAGATAGCGCTTCTGGCCAAATCATTACCAACGTACATGAATTTGAATTTTTAGCAGAACAATCACTTCCTGTCATGGTTAATGCAGAAATGCTCCATTGAGGATAATATCTTCATTTAAGTGTATCTTTGTTTACATTTCTCTGGCATCTTCTCCAAACGTTTTGACAGCTGTCAAATAACTTTGCTCTATGTTATCTCTTTATGACAAATATTTGCTGGAATCGATCTATCCGCTGCCTGCTTTCATTTATTAGCTATTAACAAAGGTTAACGGTTGGGGTGTTTGTTTGTTTTGTTTTTACAGGGGAATGTTTGATGGACAAGCCCCAGAGCCCCATGCAGCTACCCTCTGACCTCCCTGGGACCTTGTATGATGCCAACCGGCAGTGCCAGTTTACCTTCGGGGAAGACTCCAAACACTGCCCGGATGCATCCAGCACATGCACGACCCTCTGGTGCACGGGCACCTCCGGTGGGCTGCTGGTGTGCCAAACCAAACACTTCCCCTGGGCGGACGGCACCAGCTGTGGCGAAGGGAAATGGTGTGTCAACGGCAAGTGTGTGAACAAGACCGACAAGAAGCATTTTGATGTGAGTTTCCTGCTCAGGCACACACACCTTTCAAATTCTGAACCAAACACAGGGAGGCCAGCACGTCTGATGGCACCTTAACACCCCAACTCTGTGTTAGGGAAGATAGAGTAATGGATTCCTTGTCTCGCGTATTTTTCGCTTTTATTCCCTAAGAAGGTCTCTGTAGGGAATTCTAATCGGATGGCTTGTGTCCCCCCACAGACGCCTGTTCATGGAAGCTGGGGGCCGTGGGGACCCTGGGGAGACTGCTCGAGGACCTGTGGAGGCGGCGTTCAGTACACAATGAGGGAATGTGACAACCCCATCCCCAAGAACGGGGGGAAGTACTGCGAAGGCAAGCGTGTGCGCTACCGATCCTGCAACATCGAGGACTGTCCGGACAGCCACGGTGAGTGAAAACGGGCCGGGAAGCTGTGCCCGCCTGGAGGCAGCGAAGGGATGGAAACTGATGGCGCGTTCCGTCCTTCTCTTTCTAGGAAAAACCTTCAGGGAGGAGCAGTGTGAGGCGCACAATGAGTTCTCCAAGGCGTCCTTTGGCAGTGGGCCCGCGGTGGAGTGGACCCCCAAGTACGCTGGGGTCTCCCCCAAGGACAGGTGCAAGCTCATCTGTCAGGCCAGAGGCATCGGCTACTTCTTCGTTCTGCAGCCCAAGGTACTAACTTTTCCACTTGCTTCTTGCCTAAGACCCAAGGTCTTGGCTTGCTACCTTTTCCTGCAACCTGTAGGCACGAGTTTCGTTTGCATATTTCTATGTCCAATGTCAGCTTAGGCTTCATTTTTTTCAGGAGGGATACCTCAGCCAGATTTGTTTGGTGCTGTGTGGAGTTATGAATGAAGCTGAATTCAGCACTTAGGATTCTTGCAATTTCTTTTTTTTAAATATATATTTTATTGATTTCGTTTTTTACAGAGAGGAAAGAGAGGGATAGAGAGCTAGAAACATCGATGAGAGAGAAACATCGACCAGCTGCCTCCTGCACAACCCACCAGGGATGTGCCCACAACCAATGTACATGCCCTTGACCGGAATCGAACCTGGGACCTTTCGGTCCGCAGGCCGACGCTCTATCCACTGAGCCAAACCAGTTTCGGCTCTTGCGATTTCTTATTATTCTTATAAACAAGAGCCCTTTACTAGGCTAGATAAATTATGTAGTAGCATGGCAGCCAACCAGTAGTTTTGGAAAATAGTCCAGGCAGGTCTAAGTACTTGTTACTGGGTGACTGGCAGGAGCATGTGCAAACAGACTTATGAAAATGGAAGTCTGAGCTTTGATGCCTTTTGTGTTTAAGAATACAATACATATATGGAACCAGCAAAAGCATCCTTTTACTGTTTGCCTGAGGGGATAGACTGGCTGAGGTAGAACATGGTATTGAGTTTGGTTGAAATCTCATGTGTCATTATCACTGTAGGCCATAAAAATATTCCCCACTTGCAAATTCAATATTTAGTAAGTGATTTATTCAGCACCTACTTATTCAGGCATTATTCTGAGGAGACAGCCATAAAAAATTGACAAACATTTCTGCTTTTCTTCATCTTAGGTAGAAGTGAGATAGGTCAATAAACAAATACTTAAAAAATGTGTAATTTTTTCAGATGTCACATATGTACTATGGGGAAAAAAGCAGAGAAGGTGGCATACGGCATGTATAGAGTGCTGTTTTATGGCGAGGGTCAGGAAGTCAGAGATGTAATGTTAATGAGGGACATTTCTGTCATTATAGCTCCATGCCTCCCCTGGTTAGTGTGTGACACCAGACACCTGTCCTTCCTTTCTCAGGTGGTAGACGGTACGCCATGCAGCCCCGACTCCACCTCAGTCTGCGTGCAAGGACAGTGCGTGAAAGCTGGTTGCGATCGCATCATAGACTCCAAGAAGAAATTTGACAAATGTGGCATTTGTGGAGGAAATGGATCCACATGCAAGAAGATATCAGGATCGGCGACCAGTTCCAAGTAAGTTTGAGAACACCGTCCCCCGGAAGGTCCTGTCCCTTAGGTGTCACTTTTGACAGGTCTGGTTAAAAATTGTGTTCTAGAGGATTAGCTAAGCCATATAGTAGCCAGTGAATGAGCGATCTCTCTATCTGCCCTTCTTGCCTGCAGTCCTGGCTACCATGATATCGTCACCATCCCGGCGGGAGCCACCAACATCGAAGTGAAGCAGCGGAACCAGAGGGGATCCAGAAACACGGGCAGCTTCCTGGCCATCAAAGCCGCCGATGGCACCTACATCCTGAACGGCGACTTCACCCTGTCCACCTTAGAGCAAGACATCACGCACAAGGGCACCGCCCTGAGGTACAGCGGCTCCTCTGCCTCGCTGGAGAGAATCCGCAGCTTCAGCCCCCTCAAGGAGCCCTTGACCATCCAGGTCCTCACGGTGGGCAATGCCCTCCGGCCCAAGATTAAATACACCTACTTCGTGAAGAAGAAGAAGGAGCCTTTCAACGCCATCCCGACTTTCTCAGAGTGGGTCATCGGGGAGTGGGGCGAATGCTCCAAGTCCTGCGGGCAGGGGGTGCAGAGGAGACTGGTGGAGTGCCGAGACCTCAACGGGCAGCCTGCTTCCGAGTGTGCCAAGGAAGTGAAGCCCGCCAGCGCCCGGCCCTGCGCGGATCTGCCCTGCCCCCACTGGCAGCTGGGGGACTGGTCCCCCTGTTCCAAGACTTGTGGGAAGGGCTACAAAAAGAGGACCTTGCAGTGTCTGTCCCACGATGGGGGGGTCCTGGCCCACGAGAGCTGCGATCCTTTAAAGAAACCCAAACATTACATAGACTTTTGCACCACGGCCGAGTGCAGCTAAGCGGGCTGAGGGTGAAGGGGAGGAGGAGGGGAGGAAGGGCTGAGGCACTGAAATCAAGAAGGCTGGAGGGATCCAGTAGACCTTGCTGGTGATGTTACCATCCCTTTCCGTGGTACTCATTCAAATCTTGGTGTCCTGGGGGGGTTGGGAAAGGCAAAGCAGGAGAACCATGAGATCTTAGCAGAAAGCGTGGCTTATTTTATGTCTCTCCATGGAGGGAGAAGGAAGGAAGTCCAAAGAGAAGCTTTGGCCAACACTGTTTATGATCGCGGTGGTTTCAGAGAATGTCAATGTCATCTTTTCTGCCGAGAGTTCAGAACTGAAGAATGTCCACCATGGAGAAAAACGTTGAGCACGTCCAGTGACTCCATCTATTACCGTTTTGCGCCATTCTCCTGTCTTTTTGCATTTATTTGGATGAAGAAACAAGTCCTGTGTTTGTAAAAAACGCACTGAGTCTCCAAGGGGAGAACAGCGATGCGTCGGGTGCTGGTACATCCAGAGCAGGCACACCCCCCCCCCCCCAGCTGGGTATCTCCACCTTCCTTCCTCCCTGGGTAAGCCTACCTTAGGAATATGCATGTGAAGAACCAGCTTGAGTCTCAAGAAAGATAGCGGGATCACACACAAAAGGAAGTGATGCCAGAACAAGAAAGGGGTGTGAGCACCGCGGGGGTCCCCAGTGTTAGGGGACAGGGAGGTCATTTGTCTTGTGATGGGGAGGCCACTGAGGGGTAGCAGGTCCATCCCCAGCAGCTGGTCCAGCAGTCATATCCTGGTGAATGTCTGTGCAGCTCTTCTACTATGAAAGGGGATGACTTTTTCCATGTGTATATAGTAAAATACGTTACTATAAATTCTACGTACTTTATAAGTATTGGTTTGTGTGTTCCTTCTGAGAAGGACTATAGTATGTAATAAATGCCTATAATAACATATTTATTTTTATACATTTCTTTTTAATGATAAATCTCTTAAGTTATACCGTGATTGTAAAAGGGCATATAAAAATAGAGTATTTATACAATATATGTTACTAGAAATAATAAAAGAACACTTCGAATGTGTGTGTATTTTTTTTTGTGTGTGTGGGAATTTATTTCTAGGAGGGAAATTCGAGACATAAATACTGAATTTGAAGAACAGATATTCTCTTAAATTCTTTGGAAGTGAGATTTCATTCTAACAAAATGTATTTTATATATCCTGGATTGTGTGATTGTTGCAAAGAAAGGAAGCTATGGTATCTTTGGTGATAGATAGGTTTGTTACTAATGTGTAATATATACAAATGATTGGCCGACTTTTTCTGTATAAGAGCCAGATCATAAATACTTTTGGCTTTGTGGCCCATACCATCTCTGTCCCAACTACTTAAATGTGCTGTTGTAGCATGAAGACAGCCATGGGCAATACGTGAATGGGTATGGCAGTGTTTTAATAAAATGTTATTTACAAAAACAGGCAGTGGGCCAAATGTGTTCTTTGGGTGTAGTTTGCTGACCTCTGATGTACACCATAAATTAAATGGGATTCTGGAAGTATTTGGCATTCGTATGTCTTCCTCAACTATATCACAATGTTATATGAAAGCACTTAACTACTGAGTAGAAAATGATGCTTTGAATTACATGAATAGGCATGCCTGGTAAGTGGAGCCCCTAATTGTCCCATTTTTCTCATCAGAAATACCTGAGAGACACCCTGGAACACCAGTGACACACTGTAGACTTTTGTGAATGACTGTATTCTAGTATGAAATGGTATATCAATTATTTTAAAAGTACTGACTTCTTCCAAAGTACCTACCTTTTTCCCAGGAAATAGGTGATGTACTAGAAGGCTTGAGTTATATGATTAGCTACATACTCTTCCAACTTCACACTTTCATCTTTCTCCTTCACACATCCTTCAAATATTCTCCTCAAATAGTTCTATGGAACATGCTAATTTCAGACTCAGATGATAATTCCCTCTTCAGAATTACGTAAGATTCTTTGGAGTCAGGTGTATGAGTCAGATAGCAGGGCAGGGGAAGGGCGAGTCAGGTTAGTATCTGGTTTCGTATTTTACTACTTCCTGGATCTCTGAACCAAAAAATAAAAGTCAAGTGTTTTCACCCTGGTAACTAGTGGTCGCATAGAATTCTGTTAACCATAGGATTTGGCCATGTGCTTAATCACCAGTGGCCTAAGGTGATGTCTACCACAATTAAGTTTTTGCTGCACTTATTATGGTACTCAGTAAGCAATGTGCCCTCACCCTCAATCATTAGACAAGCTATTTGATAAAATGAGATAAATATACCTAAAATGATAACCCACAATATAAAGAAGTCACCTTCAGATCTGGCCCAATTCACTGATGAGTTAATGTTTTTTTTGAAAAGGCTCACATTGATTTGACATAGTCAGCAGGGAGACTGGCCTTCAGGACACAAAGAGAGGAAAACAGTCAAAAGGTTTTCTATTGTTCTCTGTATATTCAATGCCAGACAACTTTCTAAGTCATCATCTTATGTTTTTAGCCCTCTGCTGAGGAGGTTTTCCTTTTATCAATAAACTAAGCAGTTTAAAATTTTGACAGCAATCTTGACAGCAAAGAGGGTTTAGTTCAAAACACATCTGGTTTTGTGAGATTGGTCAGGCACCTGCTTCAAAAGATGAACAATTTTGTGCTCACTCATGGTGATGAGCTAGCATACTGTTGAATATTAATAAAATACCTAATTTGGAAAGCACTCAATAGGCACTTTCTCTAGCATTCCAACTACACTGTGCAAGTGAAATTTTTGAACCAGAGCTTTTATGCAAAAATGGACAAAAATTTTTCCCAATTTTTGCTCTTTGTTTAATCTGCCTTTAGAAAAGGGCACTACAGGTCTTTATGTGACTTAGGAATAATAAACAACACCCACAATTTTCTAATCCCATTGACTTTTTAAAAATGAAATAAAAGCAAAAATTATTAATGCAAAGCATAGGAGTGCTAGATCTATCAAGAAAATTGACCAAAATATCCCAGTATAAAGCATAGGCTTTTCCTGCCATACACAGACTTTTGTGACATGAATGAGCTCAATTGGTATTGGCAGATATGTAAACAGTAAAACATGGAAGATGCATTGTCAACAAAATCATAACTGATGGATAAAAATTTCTTATATTTGGAGTTATCAAAGGACATCATTTCATTTATTATTTGGTAATTAGGTAATATAAATGAGTGATGCTTCTTAAAAGCAAATACCCAAACATATCTCTTCATAGAGAGAGACTGTGTGTAATATTTGATTCACAAAGAAAATAATGGAAAGCAAAAAATATGGTGACTGAACTATAACCACATTACCATGACAATACATTGTTTAAACTTTCCTATTCAAAGACAAATACCTTCAGGATGTGCTTAAAAATAAAATCCAATAACATGATAAATGAAAGGGAACTACTTAAATCAAAATGACATTTCTTCAAAGAAGTCCAAAGATTTATCAGGCAAACAGTAGAAACAAAGTTGGAATAAAATTATATCAGCCAAAATTATACTGAAGATGGGAAAGCACTAAGCAAAATAAAGATTGGCATCTCTAGTGGATTAAAAATAAAATCCACAATAAAATGTCTGTCCAAGATAGTAGAACATCTATGTGCCAATTTAAAATTGTTAAAAATGCAAAGGAAAATCAACAGGTAAGGACAATTCTATTTGTCTTTAATACCTCTCTCTAGGTAAGGGCAAGCCAAGTATGTAAAAAAAAAAAGTGCAAAACTTTATAAAGACATAAAAGAAGACTCGACTAAAGAGGCATACAAATTCCTTTAAGTCACAACCTTTTTATTTTGTCCTAAAATGAGTAGATATAATGATTCCAATCATTAGCCATTCATAATTTTTTTTGGAACTTGATAGTACGGTTCTAAAGTTCATCTGAGGAAATCAATTTGGTGAAGATAAGAGAAACACAACTATGAACAAAGTGAAATGTAAGATGTCATAAGTGTTGAATATATCAATTTTTTAAGAAGCGTGATTTGAATATTATCATAGGCTATTAAAAAATTCACTGTTTCGTATTATAGGCTTCTAGAACTTTCATTTTGCACCAGAAAGAAAATTAACTAGAGAGAATGAAAATAGGACTGTCATGTTTTGCTTGCCTGTATCCACAATTCAATCATTTTTTTGTTTTTGTTCTTTTAATCCTCACCAGAGGATATGTTTATTGATTTTCGAGAGGAAGGGAGGAAAGAGAGAGTTATGATCAGAACCTGCAACGTAGATATGTGCCTTGACGGGAATTGAACTTGCAACCTTTTGGTGTACAGGATGATGCTCCAACTACTCAACCATCTGGTCATGTCAATAATTCAATTTTAATGATTAAAAACAAAACAAAACAAAAAACCTCTTAAAGCTACATGAAGTATATACCAAAGAATCATAGCTAGATAGCTAGATAGGTAGATAGATACATAGATAGATAGACATTTTATATATATATTGAATATATATATATATAAATCTGAGTGAAGATGAAGAGACAGAATTAATATGAAGGCACTTAGAGGGATTCTTAGTTTCCAAAGCTGAGGGAGTCAGGCCCATTGCTGAAGCAGGAATGCAGTGGTAGGCCCAGAGAGAGGCCACATTTGACAACCTTGAAGTTGAAGATGAGGGAGCTCAGTGAAAGCTGAAATGAATGGGCCAGGATCAAAGATCTCTGATTTCTATCCAAAGCTCTTCGCCAGATGGGTTAGATTAGCTGTGTTCAGAGTGTCTCTCCTCTTCCTCTATAAAGTGGGCTAAGAGCTTAGCGGGTCTCTGCAGCGTATTCCATAAAAGCAGAGAAGTGCCCCAAATAAAGGACACAGCAGCTGAGCAATGCCTGCAGGGAGAGATGTGACAATATCTTTCTGACTTCTCACTCATTTCAATTGGTTTACTCAGTTCTGAAGCTTCAAGAATCTTTCACCTTCAACATTTCCATCCAAGATGTGAACGAGACTAGGAGAAACAGGCTTGGCTTTGGTCTCAGAGTGGTCTCAGAGCATGCCTGAGGTATTGATAAAACAGGACTTGAGAGGAAAGGAAGAAGAGGAGAGCATACACCACGCCAACTTGATACACAAATTCTGAATAAATGGCAGTTGGCGGGAGGCCTTCATTTCGAGCAATGAAGACCCACAATCACAAATGCTAGATCTCCAAATCTGTGGGCAGGGTCCTCTGCTCCTAAAGATCCATAGAGATATTATCTACTTATCAAAGTACAAGATATTCTGGAATGTTCTTTATACCATTAGGATAATTTCTTGTAGAAGTGGGATATTGGTTAAAGCCTGTATTTTTCTAACTAAAACACTTTTGTACTCATATCAGTACTCTTAATACTCTGCATCGTTAGTACCCTGTGTTAGAATTTCCTCATATGGACCTTTAACCCGACTATCAATTGGAGCTCAGAATTTAAAACATAGCTATCCCAGATTGCTGAAGAAATCAGAATATCCTTTTGGTCTCTGGTCTTGGCTCTCCCATTTTCCTTTCCTAAAACAAAGGCCATTTACCAAAAGCTATAACAGCTAGAATTGCATTTTTTTTTTTCTTTGACAATCATGTACCTGTGAAACATTTGAAAAATTAAGATGTAAACAAAGCTGAATGCCTGAAAAGCTTTTTATCCCATACAATCAGAAACATAACCAAACCTCACTTTGGACTATCCAGAGTCACAGGCACAGTTGAAACACTGTAATATTCAATTCTCGGCACAACTGGGAGAAGGCAAAAGTATAATTTCACAGAAAAAATTAAAAAAGCATTATGGACAGACCAGAATTAGAGAACTCAATATTTGTGTTTCTGAGAAATTTTGCCATCCACCAATTGTGGGACTTCAGGGAGAAAAAATACCATGCCATTAATTCTAACATATCATGACTTAAATGATCGGTAACCACAAAAAAGATACAATCTAAAATGTGAGGTTTTGTTAATTACAGAGCATCAATAACAATGAAGTTGTTTGTCTTCAGATTTCTGGATATTACACTTATTTATATTCAGAACCCAAAGGGGAGAGGAAACTGATACTGTGAGAGCAAATGCTTACTTTTAAGTAATACACTGACAGAGACTGCTGAAGAATCAAATTGTCAACCACAAAGGTTTTCTGGTCGACAAGAAAACTCCTTTATATTTTAACAACATATCTTTAAGTAAAACATCACTAGTTAAGAAAATAGAATCTATTCTTGGTCATATATTTTTACCTTAATCACTTTGAACAAATAATAAAAATGTTTAATTTAGTCTCTCTTTCCCTGAAATATAATTACACATCTTTCAGAAGTATATGCTCAAGACACCCAACGCAGTATTTACTTAAGAAAATTATGGTAGAGAAGAGAAATCTTCAGGGCAGACAATTAGATCATCCTTCTGCTGATATTACAAATAT